AAACGTTCTAAAGGAAAAACTGTGTGGTCAACGTCGTAGTATATTGGTGGTAGTACCTGGAACGATACTCCAGACTGCGTGGGAAGCCAAGCGAGTTGAATTGGAAGGCCGAAGTAACGAAGACCCCGTATAACCGTAATCGGACTCGACAATTCTACTTGGACTTTCCTCCGGAAGGTGTTAGTTATGAGTTTTGGGCTCGGGACTTGGCTTTGATTGCCCTGGGTTTGAGAACAATGAGACAGCCTGGGGAGTTATGTAATTTAAGGTTGAGTGATGTTAAACTTGTGGGCGGTTTGTTTTGGGTAAGGATTAACAAGTCCAAGACGGACCAATTAGCTAAAGAGAAATTCATCCCGATTGAAAAAATGAGTAGTAGGTTTTGCTCCGTTGAGAGAGTAGTGAATTACCTGAAAGTTAGACCTGTAACGAAGGGTGATGCACCATTGTTCTTGTCGAAGTCAAGAAAGAAAATGTCTGTTTTAGCTATCTCAGCAGTGGTTAAACGTTTTGCGGAACATGCTAAAATGAAGGGAAGGTTTACGGCTCACAGCTTGAGAATCGGGGGAGCCACAGCGGCTATGAAGGGTGGGTTATCAATGGAGCAGATCCAGACCATAGGCGGCTGGGTTTCGGATGCTGCAAGATTGTATATGAGGGCCATAGGTACTGTCAATTTAGGTGCATCGATTGCTATGGGTTTCGAAGGGTAGTTTATTATGTGCTTTAAGAATGTACAGATTAGTTGGATTTATTTGCTTAACGCAATTTATTGTTTTACGATGCTCTGCAAGTACCCATTTGTGTTTTTATAGTTAAATCCTGATATGAGAGACAAACAAATAACTGCTCGATACGTAAGTATCGAGGCAGTGTTTGTCTCGAATCAACCCGGGTTCAGGCATGTGACATGCCCTGATTACAGTCACATGTTTGATGGGAAGGTTTAGTAAGTATGAGGTAATTGTCTCTTTCGAGTATTTCATAGTTATGCGTTTAGTATGGCTATGAGGTAATTAGTAGGTAATTAGTAAGTAATCGATCAGTATAGTATAAATGGGTTACTTGGGTAATTATGAGGTAATCGGTGAGTAATCGTTGAGTATATTAGGGTCGTTAAGGTAGATAGGTAAAGATAACCTTGTTTCTTCTGCAATTACCCGATTTTAGATCTGGTTACCTCGATCCCACCCACCCTGCCCTAATCAAGGTACTCTTTTAAGTGACCTGTTGAGACGACAGTCATGCTGGGTTAGGCCGGGTGGGGTTAATATTTTGTTTTATGACCTGTCGGACGACAGTCATATGTTATGTTTTTCGCGTGACCTATTAAGTGACACAGTTTTTTCATTGACCTGTCGGAACGACAGTCATGTGATAGATATATAAGGAAACCGATCCTAGTTAAGCTGCGCAGATTGCTCGATTAGCAGGAGAAAAACCCATTTGTGTTTTCATAGTTAAATCCTGATATGAGAGACAAACAAACGCTTGTTTTACTAATTTGTCGGCGATTTTTGATGTCCAAGTATCTTTAATACCTTGTTCAATCATATATTTAATGAAAAGTTACGTTACAGTTTCGTAAGTTATAATGTAATTTCATGCAATGTATGTAATGTCAACACTACAAGCAGTGTTATAAATTCAAAAAATTTTTATTGACACAAAAAAGAAATCTATACGCGTTTTATATGCGCAAAGAAAAAGGGGTAGGAATGTTATACCATTTAATGCCGGTAATGCTTTGGATTGGCGTTAGTTTAATGCTGGTCATTTGTCATTTGGGATCAATAATTTGTAAAATCGCCAGTCAAAAAAATTTCGCAGCCAATCAAATTTCAAGATCAGGAAAATTCAAAACAAACGGTCGTTTTGTCAAAAATCACCCATAACTCAAAATATAGTCTAAGAAACTGTCTTCTGCGTATTAACAAAAAGTTTTCCTCGCAAAATTTTGGTATATTTACAACCCTCTAAACCTAACCTACTTGCAATACCCTAACCCTAACCTATGGCGAAATGTTTTTTCTTAGCGAAATTTTTTTCTTGGTTTTGCAATAAGATCACATGATGTGCGAAGTTTTTTTAGACTGGTGATGCTAGTCTCATAATTAATTGTATAATTGGTCATATGCGCAAACATGTGACAATCAGCAAATAACCAACTACCCCAGGATTCATAGGCGGACATTCGTATGATTGGCTGATGTAAATCAATTGCCCGGGTAACTTATTTATACACTTTAAAGTACTTTTTAAGAACGTAACGTTTCACTAACAAAAAAATCGCCGTGAAAGCAAATTCTAGCTCTAAACGAACATAGATATTAACTCTTAAAATTAATCCAAAATAATCCACTCCCCCAAGAACTTCACTTAGAAGTGAATATTTTTATTATATATTGCTAGTACTAGTTATATTGACTATACGTAAGTTCTAAATGCTGGAAACGGTCAGCAAAAAAGAAGATTGAGACGTTATATTGTGTAAGCTTTGAACTTAAAGAACTTTGTATATTTTGTTTGACATGCTATTATAATAATAATAGATCAGTGCTAATGCTTATTTTACGTATTCTGAGTATTAAATTGTTAGAACTGTTAGATCGGTAAGCGTAACTTGGGTTAAGTAATAGGTCGATAATACGTATAAAATACTATTTTCTATTAATTATATGGTCTAAAGGTTATGTCACATCTTTAATAAAGGTTATGATAACTAAAATATAAAATCATTTGCGTGTATTTATTAGTTTATAAGCTTTTTTGTAAAGTTTTTTTCGTTTTCTAGTATATAGTATGAAAACGATAACAATAAATCTTTTGTATTTTGATTGGTTAATTATCACGGGAAATCACGGGTAGATCTACAAAAATTAACCAATCAAACGAAAGTCTTCCTATGACATGTAAGGTCATGCAATTAGCTTGGGTATTACTATAATGGGAGGCGAGGCTATGAAACCAATGAGATATGAAATACTTTTTTTTTATTTTATTTATTTATTTTTTTATTAGGAAAACAGTAATCAAATGAATATCGAAGTAAGTTATTGCTTATTAAGTATTCCTGTTAAGTACACACATGATCATAAGTTATACTGCAGGTAGTGAGCCCATTGTTTATCCTAACGATTGTGGAGTTGACCCGTGTAAGGTCATGCATTTAGCCAAGGTATTACTGTAATGAGAGGTGAGGCTATAGAACCGATGAGACATGAAATACTTATTTTTTATTTTTATTTATTTTTTTTATCAGAAAAACAGTAATCAAACAGATATTGAGATAATTTATTACACAAAATCTTAATTCTTGATTGGATGTAGTAAATAAATGATTTTCACAGCACTAATTTTCATCTTTGGTTCAAAAATCAAATTCATATGTATATTCTCACGTGAATGAAAAACATGAAATCGTATATAGTCTGGTTCTTTACCACAGTTCCCACAAATCACCAACGTGAATGGCAATATTTGATTCACAAGTACACCAGAATTCGAGTCTTGATAAGCCAAATAGAAATTACAAGTCAATTCAGTCTGTTAAATTAAGTTTTATTAAAGTTACAAGTTGAATTCTAAGGATAATTCACAAGGGAAATTCAGATAAGTGGATTCTTTTTATTATTTTTTGGTAATGATAGTGAATGAGAACTGTAGGTTTTTATTAAATTCAAAGTTTTTATTATATTTTAAATTTTTAGAATGTCTACACTCTAATTTAAAGGTTTACATTAAGATTTCAATGCTTTCATTAAGATCTTAATATATTTTTTTAAAATTCCCATAATCGTTGATAATATTTGGGACACAAGCTTTAATATAATCGTGTTTAGGTATAGATTTGATGATTTCGTGATGCATTTGATATTCATTAATTACAATTAAGTTCGTATTTGTTACCAAAATGAAATTGAAGTTTTACGAAAAATATATTTGTAAATAAAATCAATACAATAATATAAGAAATTTTTATAATAAAATATAATAAAATGTAAATCAAGCAGGTGACTATCTATTCATTACACTTGGGATAGGATAAAGCAGCTCTAGCTGGCTCCAAGCTGAGCCGAAACAAGCTGGTTCGAGCTGGCTCAGAGCCTGTCATATGGCCCATCTTAAAAATGTTTATCGGTATAGTAATAAACTTAAAAATACATATCCTTAATTATTGAAAGTTTTTAGAAAAAGATTACTAGACAATTATATAATTTATCAGATTAACAAATTATTTACCAGTATGATCACATGAAATGTGTAAGGTATGGTTTTCCGTTCAACTTTTTTGATGTGCGCTATGCTGATTTTTGAAAAATCCTTTTTTAGTATAAGTAATGGTTTTCATTTATCCAAATCTAGTAGAAGTTAAGATAATACTGTCACGGCGTATTCACATGCTATCATGCTGGTGTGGGAAAAATATGTGCGTGCGTGTGAGAATTACATTTAAAACACTGATCGTCATCGGTTATGTTGGTCAGTCGAGCCGCTCTGACCGGCTAGTATCGGTTACGGTTAATAACTGTAACCGAACCCATCCTTATTCTGGAGTATAATAATAGCTAATCTTTTTAGTAATTAAAAACGGATAATCAATCTTTAATAACTTTCAATTACTATCATCATCGTTGATGAGATGTTCTTTTTAATTTTTTAATAATGAGTAGCTTGTCATCGAATTGCAAGATCAGATGACTTTATGGATCACATACTTA